CCACATACAACTCATCAGCAAAACTTGCCAGTGATACCTCCAAAACATATCCAAAATTCATCTAGTTCTTTCTATCTATACTGCAACCTTCCGAGTGCCAGCCAGTATTCCTCTTGCCTATAGCACAGTGATAGACTTCTAACTGTTCTCTCTGATTCTCCTCTTGCTCCATTCAAAGCAACGAAAGCTTTCAAGCAAATCACACAGTAAACAGAGTGATCTCATTCAAAGATATATTGAGCCATGCTTTTGAAAATCCTTACACAGCTTCTCTTTGCACTGAGGATGAAATAATGAAGATTTGCCATGTCTTCCATTGTCTTTCATCAACTCCATGCCTGCCTCTGAGTTCAATCTTTGTCACTCTCTCCCTCACTTACCACACTTTGGCCACACTGTCTTATTGTCTATTCCTCCAATTTTCCGAACACTTTATGGCCTCAGGGCCTTACAAAATGCCTAGATGTGCACTGTCTAATACGATATCCATGAGTCACATGTGGCTACTGAGCACTTGAAATGCAGCTACTCCAAATGAGTCTATAAATATAGAATACATACAAGATTTCAAAAACAGTATAAAAAAGACTGAAAATATCTTACTAATAGTTTATATTGTTTATGAAATGATAATATTTGAGCATATTGGGTTAAATATATTATTGAAATTAATTACACTTTTTTTTACTTCGTATAATGTGGCTTATAGAAAATTCATATGACTTAGACTTATAGCTTGCATTGTATTTCTGTTGCATAACTGGTTGCATGGCTGGCTCCTTGTCCTTTAGGTTTGAGATAAAATATTTCTTCCTCAGGAAGTTTTTCTTTGCCAAATAGGCTATTTTATTTAAAGTAGCTCATGCCAACATTACCTTATACTCTTTTTTTTTATTCATGAATATTTCAATAATCCACATTTTAAAAATTACTGGTCTATTGTTTTAATCTATTGTTTAATAAGCTCCATGAAGACAGAAAGGATGTCTGGTTTATACCTGTCACAGTCTCAGACATATAGTAGACCCAATAAATAATTATTGAATGAATGAATAAATGAATTTTATTGATTGCAAAGCTGAAGTCCATAGGGAGAAGTGACTTGCCCAAAGCCACAGAGCTAGTGAATAATTGATGGAGCCAGTATTCCAAAAGAGATCTTCTGGGTCTCAATCTAATGAATTTTTCATTGCACAGCATTGCCATTCTTGGTAAAATCCTACAAACCTTAATTGATGTTCCTTTTTTCTTCATTTGCCATATTCTAATTGATGCCCACATTATGACATTTTCTTTTGTTTCTTCCTTTGAATAGAGAGGTTGATCATAAGTCTGACGGAACCAAGCAAACCTAGGCCTGTATATACTGTGTGTATATACTGTATGGAATTGTAAAAGCCATTCTCTGACACTTTTTCCCCCAAAATGACTTGTAAATGCTTTTCTCTCTGGTTGCCTGAGAGATTCAAGATGAGCAGCTGCTTTCACAACAATCCTATTTGAAGCAATCCCACAATTTGGCTATATTTTCAACACCTTGGGACACAGGAAGAGTTGACCTAAGAGGAGACTTTTTTTTTTTAAATAAAAAGGAGGCTACATCATGACTAAAGCTTGGTTTTTATAATCAACAGTCTTCAACCAGACCCTAGATCCCAGGCACTCCTGATGTGACATCAGTGCCTGAACAGCAGGCCCACTCATATACTGCTTGTGAGGTCACTTCTACTACAGCAACTCCCAGAAGTCTACCTTTGTTTTTTTCCCGTTTGTTACTACCATCTCCTCAATGGACAGGATCCTGTTGTCTATAGGGAGATCACTTTTCAGAGTCTCATTGGAAAGCTGGATCCGCTTGCCCCGTTCCATACATCTGGGGAAAAAAAAATGAGACTACATTTACTGTCTTGTCAATAGAAAGGGTCTGAAGCATGACAAGTATTGCAGAGAGTATACTTTCTGGTCTAGGAAGGTATATCACCCAGAGAATTCTGGACAGGAAGCCTCCCCTGATTTACAGTAAAGCAATTTTAATCCTATCAAGGTTATATGCAAACAAATTAATGGGTTGGGAAAGTACATATTTTAGAAGACAAAATGGCCAGGGAAGGCTTGTCTGAGGAGGTGACATTTGAACAGAGTCTTAAGAAATCAAATGTGAGCCATAAATATTTCTAGGGAAGAGAATTACAGGTAGAGGGAAGAACAAATGCAAAGGTCCTGAGATAGGAACATGCCTGACATGTCAGAGGAGCAAGGAGGCCTGTGTGGCTGGAGGTCAGTGAACATAAGACTAAGTATTATTCTTATTTAGGCCATACCCTTGTTTCTAGGCTGACAGAATATAAAGCCCTATATAAATCTCCTTTACTGGTATCTCCTCCTGAATTAATTCTCTTACTCTGAACCTTAAGCAAAGAGGGAAGGCTCATGAGAGTAGTTCTGGGGAGCTGTGGATTAGCGAAGATATACAGGAAGGCAGATTATTAGAGGGAATGATAAGGTACTAGACTTGTATTCAGCAGAATTGCAATTCAACTCAAGCACTGTTAGTTTATATGGCTTCTGACAACTCACTTCCTTTTTCTGAGACTCAGTTTTCCCAACTGTTAAGTGGAGCTAATATTAGCCATATCACGGAGATTCTAATACGCACTTGTAATGGGCTTACTCCAAATTGAGATGTTCTCTAAGTATAGAATACACATAAGATTTCAAAGATTTAATATGAAAAAGACTGAAAAATGTCTCATTAATATTTTATATTGATTGCTTATGAAATGACAATATTTTAGATATATTGTGTTAATTATATTATTCAAATTAATTTTACTTGTTTTATTTTGTATAATGTGGCTACTAGAAGATTATATTTCTGTTGCATAACTCTTTTCATGGCTGGCTCCTTATCCTTTAAGTCTGAGATTAAATATTTCTTCCTCATAAAGTCTTTCTTTGTCAAAATTTTTTTTTTAATCCGAAGTAGGTTTTGCTCCCCATCATACTCCTTTCTGGTTCTTTGTGTTCAATCAAATTTTTTAATTCTTATTTTTTAATTACACTTGACATTCGATATTAGTTCCAGATGAACAGCATAGTGGCGAGATATCCATATAACATACAAAGTGATCCCCTTGATCAGTCCAGCACCCACCTGACACCATACATAGTTATAACAATATTATTGGCTATATTCTCTCTGCCGTACTTCACATCCCTGTGCCTATTTTGTAACAACCAATTTGTACTTCTTATTCCCTTCATTATTTTCACCCAGTCCCCAACCTCCCTCCCATCTGGCAACCATCAGCTCATTCTCTAATATCTATGGTTGTGTTTTTCTTTTGTTTCATTTATTCGTTTTTTTTTTTTCAGATTCCACATAAAAGTGAAATCCTATGGCATTTGATTTTTTCTATTTGACTGGTTTTACTTAGCATAATACCCTTTAGGTCCATCCATGTTGTCATATGATTTTATTCCTTTTTGTGTCTGAGTAATATGCCATTGTGTGTGTGTATATATATGCCACATCTTTTTAATGCAACCATCTATAAAAAATCTCATACAACTCAACATCAAAAAGCAAACAATCCTATTAAAAATGGGTAGAGGACCTGAATTTCTCCAAAAAAGGACATACAGATGGCCAAAGACATATAAAAAGGTGCTGAATATCAGTAATCATCAAAGAAATACAAATTAAAACCACAATGAGATATCACCTCACATCATTCAGAATGGCTATCATCAATAAATAAACAAACAACAAATGATGGCGAGGATGTGTAGAATAGAGAACCCTCATGCACTATTGGTGGGATTACAAATTGGTGCAGTAACTATGGAAAATAGTTTGGAGTTTTCTCAAAAAATTAAAAATAGAACTACCTTATGACTCAGAAATTTTGGTCTGATATTTATCCGATGTACAACCAAGATTTGAATCTCTAAACAAGCTCATGAAATGGCTAAAATTAGCTCCATTCAATTTTCATATAAATGTGAGAGATATAGTATGTATTATTGTATTCTAATATGGTTTCTAGAATATAGTAGGCACTCAATAACTGTTCACTTAAAAACTTTGTTAGGAAAGGTACTTGGAAAAGGTATTTTCCTAGGAAAAATATTTAATCCACCCTCCTTTTTTTTCCCAAATAGAAAATTGGTTTAAAAAATACAACTGGCTGTACTGTAGCTCAGCTGAGTGAGAACAAAGAAAGTGACTTGGGAGTTACAGAATGTCAGAATAAGGAAAGAAAGCAGGGCAGAATCAAAGTAAGCAAGTTGATAGGACCACTGTTATCCCCACGCCCCAAGAACACTTTCCTGGTGTCTACAGAGATAAGAATGCTTCCTAAGCACCTATTTGTAGGTAGGAAGCAATTGAGAGGAGCTAGCTTATGAGAGCTGGCTTGAAAGTACCCGTGGGACACAGACTGACAGGCCCTTCTAATTAAAGATCTAGATCTTGGTCTAATAACTATATTCCCTAGATTTTCCTCTGAACCAAGGCTATATCATCAAACCCTGGGCCTTCCAAATTGGATTTCCTAGACTCTCTCCATTCAGAGATCAACTATCACCTTTTTATACTCTCTCATTCATTACCATGTGCTTAGAACTCCAACTTCAGCACAGTACAGCAATGAGTTAATAAGATGAACTTCCCTGGTCAGCTAACATGTCGCCTTTCAAACAACAATGAGAACCCAAGTAAACTATCCTCTGCTCCCTTTCAGAGTTAAGGCTAAGCACAAAATTTATCTCATGTGGCAAGCCTGTGGGGGAAAGTGTTGTGGTAGAAACTGGGTAAACATTGATAAAGTATTCTTAAATGCTGCTTACTCTTGGATTGGGGGCAATTCACTTCACCTCTCTGAATTTTCCTTTTTTTTTTTGTTCCTAATTATTATAGGGGCTTCATGTGACTGATTTTCTTAGAGGTGACTAAAGTAGCCACTTTGAAATAGAGCTCATTGCCCCAGAGCAAAATCAAATTATCTAATATGTCCCAGGCATATAGTAGGGCCTCAATAAATGGAAGCTCTTAATAGGTAAGAGTCAGCATACCTGGCTCTCATTGTGATGTCTCTCTTAACTCCTGTGTTGTGGAAAGTGAATCATTTATCCCCTTTAGCCTCCATATCTCCATTTGTTACTGAAGAAAAGGAATTTCTATCTTACCTTCTACACTAGGATAATAGGAGCCTAAATGAGTGTACTGTGATATAAAAATGTTATTTGAAGACAGATTTCCCATTGTGGGGTTACACTCCAATCAGGCTTATCATGGAAGCAGTTCTCAAACTGATGAAATGTCCATTTTCCAAGCCCATTACTGATTTTTTTTCCCCATTCAGTGACAAATATTTGGAAATTTGCCCTATTCTGTTTATCTCACACTTAAATATCAAATCACGATCTAAATCCAAATTTCCGTAGCCTATAAATAACAATTGCATTTATCTCTAATTTCAAGCTGTGACTTTGGAAATAACTGGCAAAAACCTGAGGTTTAGCAACTATTGAAGTACTACCTCTTCTTTTAGCTTCCCAGGCCCCATTCCAAGACCACTGACAATACCTGTCATATCATATGGAAAACAAAATCTCCTTAACACTTCTAGTCTCTCATGTAGCTCAGTAAATCCAAGAGTCTAGACCATGTGAAGTCCTTTGGCCTACAAGTTACTTACAGCTCATCTTTCTGGCCGCAGGGCTCCCAGGCCCACATGAAGGAGGGCACAGGCAGGCCACTTGCTGTACAGCGAAGGATATTCTCACTGCCTAGGAGTACTGGCTGGATGTTCTTCAAATCTGTTTCCTTCTCATAGATTTTAGGTTTTTCTAGACAAGAGGAGAAAATGGCAAAGATTAAAGTCCCACACCAAGCCTGACATTTTAGCTGGTACTGCTAGTACAAGAATTCCAATGATTAGAATATAAAAATATTTCTGCATCAGTTTATAAATAGCTGCTGCCCCCAGCCTCCTAAGTGCCCTCTCCTCAACTACCATCCTGATCTCTCCCCATGAACAGGCCCTTCTCCCATGTCATTCCTGTGAACCAACAAATAAAGGGTTATATGTGACTAAACAGAGGCCTCTAAAACTTTATGCATGCACTTAAATCTGACATGATTGATCAGTGCCTGTGCCCTAGTTGTGATTATTTTTAATATTTCACTCTGATAGGCACAATAGAACCCTGTTGAAGAGAAGTAAATTTTAAGGCCCCAAATGGTGGGTGTGGATTTAAAAATAGTCTTTTGGTTTGGAAGCTTACTAAAAGCAGAAATGATATTAGGTTCATCTCTGTACCCTGGACGCAAAGTCAGTGCCTAAGAATTATATGTTGAACTTTATTACAAAAACTAACAATTGGTCTTTTTCTATTTTCAGTAACATTTTTTTGTTTGTTTTCATTTGGATTTTAGAAAACCAACAACAATATAGGCTTCTATCTGATTTTCAGGAATCTCATTTCTGAGTTTCCTACCTATATATCCAACTGCTTGCTTGACTTCTCTAATCAAATGATAATACTAATAATATCAATGTTACTAATAGTTAATTGAGCTAGGTGCAAGGCATTGTTCTAAGTGCTTTATGCGAATGCACTCATTTAATCCTCATCCTGTGAAGTTGATACTGTGACTATCCCTATTTACAGATGAAGAGGTTGAAATGTTAAATAGCTTTCCCAAAGACACATAGCCAGTAAGTGGAAGAGCTGAGCTATAAACTCTGGCAGTCTAGCTCTAAAGCCCTCTCATAAGTGTTTATAGATATCTATTCCATAAACATCTCAAACTCAAAATTTC